GTCTGTCTGTCTGTCTGTCTCTGTCTGTCTGTCTGTCTGTCTGTCTATCTATCTATCTATCCATCCCTCCCTCCCTCCCTTATTTTTCTGTACTGACTGCTCACCTGGCCACACTGGTATGGAGTATCTTTGGGAATGTGAGTCCCTCTATACCAGGCCAGAGAAATAGGTTAAAGTAACCAAATTCTGGGTCAAATGCATGTTTCATGCCTTCTTTAACATGAACAACAGCAACAACAAAAGATAATACTTTTTCCAAAAGGCCATTTCCTGTTCTTTCAGTACTAGCCTCATCCTCTCCTTTTCCATTTCCACCTCTGCTTGATCATCAATTCTAAGAATACCCGAGGGCAGTCTTCAGAAACCCAAATGGAATCTTCAGAGTGAGGCCATCCCATCCTACGATCAGCATCAGAGAAGCTGAGCAGAGAGGACCATAGGAAATTAAGGGGCTTCTCAATCTCAATTCCAATTTGATAGTTGCTACCTTCATCTCCATACTCCAGAGATTCTTATATCTTTTCTCAATTCTGATCACCAACCAAGACTACAGCTACTGAGTCATCAACTGTTACAGTCTGTCTCATTCACCCCTTAGGGAGAGGAGTTATTAACCTGCCTACCTTAATTTATTTGGACCATATAATCTGTACTCCTATTCTTCTTGGGCTGATGACTTGCCTTATTTTAGAGATTCTTTCTCTGGAGATTACACATGTAGATTTTCTTTACTGTTAGAGCACATGAAATAGCAGAAAACTAAAGTTATAGGGCTATCACTGGGTGCATAGTTCTCATCATAAGAATTGTACAGAGGTGGCTTCCTATAGTTTGTTTCAGAGAAACAAACCCTACAAAGATCCTTTTTCTCCCCTATGTTGCACTCAGTCCTGTCTATCTTGCTGGATGTATTACAAAAATTATGCAGGGAATGCTTATTTATTTTCCTTCTATCCATGGGTTACTACAGATTCATTCTTGATCTGCAACAGCCTTGAGATCCACAAACAGCTGTTGCAAACTAAATGTTCCATGTAAATAAACTACTTGATACTTTTTGCTGTGCTCAAAACTTTGTGGGTATTCAAATGTTTCCTTCAGCATTGTACAGTTCAAATGACACTGGACAGCTCAATGCCAATTTTCTATATAAACAAAGAAAGGAGAACACATTTTCACAAAAAACCCTATTTTAACCTTCCTATTGTGGAACTGGTACTTTTAACATTGGTTTTCAGTCAGCTGTTCACTTGGCAGCCTTGCAGAACATCTTACAGATCACCTGATATGCCTGATGGATTCACCAGACAGTAGTTCTTGACATTTCCTTCAACTGGGAAACTCCATCTATTGATTTGTTTATATGCAAAGACACTACCCAGTGCCCCTGATATTGCACCAGAGCAGATCACAACCTCTTATTAGAAGAGGTTCTCTTTTCCTATCATCGGATGCATAGAAGATATAGGGAATGCATGCTTTTACTCTCACAGAAAAGGTTATCATAGATTATGCTATGCTTCTTCACCATGTATCCTGACTGCATCTGCACTTGGTTGGCTGAGGCAACCGTGCTTTTTAAACCTGCTGTCCTGATTTTGCAAAATTTACCTTTGGCTACAGCACCAGATGGATGGATCCTCCATCTAGATGTGAAATGCCTTGGGTTCATGGCGTGGTTGCTTTGCACCAATCCTTTTTAAGAAAGATAGAGACTATCCTCCAGGCTTAATGTCACCTTTAAGTACAGAAGTCTTATCCTACTAACTTTTTGCTGTTTTCTGAAGAAATGATATTGTGACTTATCTGTCACAAGTAAATTGTGGATTCCTGTGGTCTTGTCAGTTGTAGAGTCTTTCCCTCTCTTAGATGAAGCTTTATTTGCAGCTATTTCAGAATTTTACAACTGAAAATGTCTTTGTTTTTCGCTATACTTTCCTCAAGAAACTGTATAATATTTACCCATTTATCATATCTTCTGTATCTATATCTATATGCCAGTTCCCAATAATTTCTGCTCACTAAATTAGATCAGAACTATAAGCTCCCACCAAGTTCCCCCCATTAAAGAATGTCACCTACAGAGTTCTTGGAGGCATATCTTCTCAATCATCACTCCCCTTCTCTGAAACAGCATTCCCTCAGAGATTTGACTTGCCCAAACAATGTGGGGAGATGGAAAGCAATCAAAACTTGATTATTAAAGCAGGCTTTTGAGAGGGAGATGAACTAAGAGAGATTTCTCCTATCTATGAGTACTGTATATGCTTATTTAGGTTTTTATGATTCCCTAGCTTAGGAATATTTTAATATATAATGTTATTTATCTGGTTCTATTTCTTAGTTGTTTTAATCTTGTTTACACATGATAGGTTTGTAAGTCAGCTTGAGTTGATCAATAATTGGAGCAGCATATAAACATAATAGATAAACAAACTACTCATTCTTTTGTCAAAAGCTCTTCTATAGAACCTTTGGTTGCTTTCATGGAAAGTGATTTTCTTGGTGTGATCACCTTGGTGAGAAAAGCATGAGAATTTTGTGCACTTCAGGTTAAAAACCTCAATTTGCAGTTCCACAAGGATAAAGCAGCTCTCCAAGTGTCCTTCCTTCCATAAATGTTGACATCATTACAGGTTAACCAGCTAACCATGTTCACTTCTTATATATTTAGCATACATTGGTCTTCTAAGTGGATCAAACAGCAAATTTCTTATGATCCAAATACCTATTTATTTAGTATTAGGGACTGAATAAAAGTCTGTCAGTTTGATTTCTTCCAGTGGGTGAAAGATGCTATTACTGTATCCTATTAATTGGGAAAGGGGGTTAACTTGCTCCAGTGGGTATAAAAAAAGAGTCTAGAAGAATTTAGCAGCTTCTACTGGTCCTTTCACTGCCTTACCAAGATATGATAGTCACTTTGGCCATCCTGTGCTTTCCTATCTCTTCACCTAGACAGGACATCTATCTATCCTTTAGAATATGAGATCTTAATTAGCCATACATATGATACACACAGTCCATAAAAAAGAAGAATAGGCTGCTTGCCTGAAATTGGTTCTTCAAGGGACCATCTGTGCCTTTATAATATCCATTCACCTTCCTTGTTGGAGGTTCCAGTACTTTCAGATGCTTTCAGGGTTCTAGGAATGCTTTCTCAGTCTCAGGGAACTGAGAGTATAGGCATATGTGTACTGTCTAGAGGACAGTTTTCACCAACAATCCTCAGCAATTCCAGCATTATCTCTATGTAGCTGCATAACCAATACATATTAATCCATACAGGTGAATCCATAGATGGCCATTCAAAGAAACATAGTTGAAGGTCAGTTTTGATGTTAACACCACCATATTAATTACACCCTATTTCATTTCTCTAAGTTCATAAATCTATGCTCCCTTTTCTTGTAATCCATATCTTGTTTAAAAGTCCTTCTCTTAAAGTGACAAACACAATTTCTTTTCTGTTTCTAAAAACTGCTGCAGGACATTATCCAGTCTTACAAAAATAGTTGTTTGATCACTTTAATATTTTATCCTTCAGGTCACAGTAACGCAACTTTTAGTGCACCAGATGTTTCCAGCATTCCTGGAAAGCATGGCCAATGATCAGGGAAGTTGGAACTTGTAATTCAGTAATGCTGTGGGCTGCTTCTCCCTTCTTTAAAGCATCTATCCTCAGGTTACTTATGATAATAAACACCAGGTAAACCAGCAATCATTGAAGGATATAAGCACAAAATATAGGCATATAAGGTAACATCAGCAGGTAAAATATCTATAAAATAACAATTTCATAATAATAAGACTTGGGTAATGTTGGGAAGTTTTTAAATCCCACAGGCCAAGCCCAGATGTAGCCCTCCCACAGAAGTCTCTGGTAAATTTAAAATGCTTATCTTTGACTTTAAACCAATTTCTTGTCATTTCTTTTTCAAAGTTTGATAATAACATATTTAGGAAAAAATAGATGAAAGATTGGTTGCCATTCCAGATTTATATCTTTATATAAATGATTTACATTATATTATCATTTCTAGTAGTACTGGAAATACAGGTAAAACAAAATTCCTTCTCCATTTATGATTAGGCTTAGAATGAGGTTTGATCATCCAATTAAATTAATTGATAGCATTTGTACAAAAGTATACATAAAAGAGCATACAGTACTTTGCCAAACTCATAAATGTATGGGACTAATTATTACAAGGAACAATAATGGCATCGACACACACGTTTTTTAGAAGTATACAATTTCAAAAGAAATAAGGTTAGTATTAATTTTTTGATGAACCCTCCATGTTCAGAGTCAGTGTCTTTCTGAAAATTGGATTCTGAAAGCAATGCAATTCTAGCAATATTGGGCTGTATATAGAGTAACCCATGCATCAAAATCTGTTTTCCAATTTCCCGAAAGTTTTCCTCACTTGCAAAAAGGCTACATTTTTCTAAGAGCCATCAGCCATCTGGTCCAGCACTCTGTGTGACAGAGCAGCCAATTGGAGGCATTAGGAAACTCACATTAGGAAACTTGGGTGGAAGAATAATAACTCCTTGCCCCTGTTGCTTCTCAGCAGTCAAAATTTAAGACTATTTAAAGCTGTCTATGATGCAGGAGGTAACATGCATCAATAGTGTTAGCCATGGATAGCCTAATCCTCCGTGAACCTGCCCAGTCCCCTTTGAACATCATCTGAACAGGCTGCCATTATCATGACTGCTGGCAGCAAATTCTACTGTAGCTATCCAAGTGAACTATTTCATTTTATTTCATTGTCAAGGTGCTTGAGAATTTATTTAGCATTTCGTTTAATTAAGTGTTTGTGCTTATGTGATTTTGAAAGGTGCAGAATGCCAATGCTGTATTTTTCTTGTCATGCTACTTCACCATCAGTCTTCAGCTTCCTGACTGCCTATTGTTCTTGCTCTGAACTCAAGGAGAAACAGAAGCTGAATTTGAATGAAAAATAGAAAAATTCATCTATACTGTTAGGACTCTCATTTCACCCATAAAAATTTTGCTGAGTTTTTCCTCTCCTTGAAAATTGAAACAATTTCCCCACTATATTGGCTCAGAATGGTCAATATAGAAGAAAATCTCAGCACAGCAAAAAATATAAAATGCTGAATTCTTTGGAGCTTTTACAGTACATTCATCTAATAACTACTACAAGAATGTAAGACAGGAAAATACTTTATGGACCATAGATCTTTTGCAATCTACATCAATTAATTTGGGTAGCAAAGCAATTATTATTGCAATATATGTGTGTGTGCACATAGGCATTAAAAATAACCCTAAAATCTGTTTCCAAACACCTACTAGATCTAAACATTTATTTTCATAACATCCTTAAATTATACAATGTACCCAAGGGAAGTGGCCTAACTTGAAAATAATAGCCTCACTCCATTTATTTGGTTTATAAGGCTCCTTTCTTTTTAGCTGACAAAGGTTTTGTTTAGTTAAACTTGAAGCCAATCCTTACTTTTTTTTCAAACACTATTTAATCTTCTGAGAGAGACATGCAATTTTAAATAATGTCTTTTTGAGTGACATGAATACTTGTCCAATCTGAACATGTACAAATATGTACAAACAAAAGCTACTTATTAATAGGCAGGGATAAAATAGATAAACAGGAAGCACATAGAATGTGTTTAGAAAGGCACAAGAGTTGAAATCCATGAAACATAAATAAACTTTCTTAGATTTGACTCCCTCTAGAGTATTTTTAAGGGAAAAGCTCATCAGAGAGGTTTCATTTTCATTACAGAAACATTCCAGCAGCAATCCCACAAAAATGTCCTGTTTTTGCCTTTCCTAGACATTTTTTTAATCTTCAAGTTGTGTGTGTGTGTGCGCGCGCTTACACACACGCACACACACACACATGCTAAATTGTAATTACAAGAAGTATCCATAAGAAATAAAATTTGTAAAGGCATATTCTTAATGGGTATTGTTAAGCATTCATGCTTGTCCAAGAAACAATAAAGGCCAGAATCTGCTACTTTAGGCACACTTAATACTATTGTATATCCACTTATGACTTAGTGCAGTTTCTCCAAAGATAGTGCCCTCCAAACGTGTTGAGAATTATAGTTGCAAGATATCTAAAGGGGATCAAGTTGAGGAAGACTGGACAAAATTAATGATATTAATAATCCAATGATTATTCCACAAAGATCAACTGTATGAGACCCAGGTATCTGAAGTAAACTTGAGTACACTTAGCTTATACATACAGGAGATGCATCTCTTGAAAGTTGGGGGGGAGGGAGGAAGCTGTTCAGTAAAGTCAGTCCTTTTGACACCAACTTCTTCAGTGAAATTCCCTCATTTTCCTTTTCCCTCAGCCCTAGAACTTCAGAGAGGAAAGTTAGGAAGAATAGTAAAGTATTCTAATTTCAGTGGCTTTGTGGCAAAATTAATTCTTTTCACTTAATCACATCCTTCGTCTCATGCTGATTACCTTGGTCACAACTCCCTGAACTAACCAGCCAGCTGAATCATCACGCTGGCATGTAGTCAAATCTTCCTTTATTTTAAAAGATTTTTCCCTTAGTCATTTATGAAACACTTTCATGGGTTATTAGGGAATGCACTACTTTTTAAAATATATATATATAGATTCATTAACAAGCATCTTAACTCTTGGACTGGGAGAAAAACAATTAAGGGAACATAATCTTTGGGTGCACAGTAGCATTACTGAAGTAAAACTATCAGCCAATAGGAGAACCAGTTTGATGTAGTGGTTTAAGGCATCAGACTAGAAGCCAGGAGATGGTGAATTCTAGTCCCATCTTAGTCACAAAGCCAACTGGGTGATCTTGGACCAGTCACTCTCTCTCAGCACTGGGAAGTAGACAATAGCAAACCACTTCTGAAATCTTGCCAAGAAAATTGCAGGGATTTGTCCAGGCAGTCTTGCCAGGAGTAAAAAATGAAAAATATTATTTATTTTTAATTAATGAATGTATTAAAGTAACATGTTCCAAATCAGACATATCCTTATAATCACCATTGCCCAAGTACAACTACTATGACTACAAAATGCAGTTGTGGCTCGCTGCATATCCACACTGCACCTTTAACTGCTTCTTCCCTGTGTTGATGCCAGCTGGGCTCTAAGCCAATTTAAAACAATTCTGTCCAGATTGGGACACTTTGACAGTGACTTGCAGGTGTTCAGTCTTGACTGCTGGGCAATTCCTCTGCATGCCAGGAAAGCAGTTACCAATTGCTTTCTTTTCTGTGGCTGGATTTTATTGTCATACAGACATCCATATACAAAGTTAAATTTATATATACAAAGTTAAAATATCAAAATACACATATATACATGTGAAACAACCAGCTTTCACATTAAAAAAAACCCTTTCTTGCATTTTCTTGTCTTTGGTTTGATAAAGTTTGCCTCAGCCTCTGTACAAGAAACTTTCAGTAATATAGTGGTTATAATACTTGCCTGACATGTAGAGTGCCACTGGTTCAAAACCTGGCAGAAATGTTTCTATTTTAATTACTGTTTTTCCTTTCCATAGCTATCCATTCTGCTGCTTAAAATTACAATAACAACTATTTACTGTAGTAGTAATAGTAATACAACCAATGCACCACTTCATTGGCCCAGTCACTTGAATTAAAAGAGTTTCACCCCAGCTTCCACACAGCCCCAATCTATGTACTTATTCTTTTGGAATATTTGGGAGCTGGGATGAAATGCTTCTACTTCAGGTGACTAGAAAAACAATAAAACAGTATTAAAAAAGAACAACAGAACAGTAGGTAGCTCAGGGAAATTATCTCTCTATCTCTCTATCTATCATCTATCATCTATCATCTTCTGGATTTGAATGTGACATTTTAAATATATCAGGCAAGTATTATAACCATTTTGCACCTGCAGTACCATTGGTAATAGTTTCTGCATAGTTTTTAGAGAGCCAGAGTGGTGGCCATTGACCCAGGTGAACAGATGTTCCTGCGTCTGCACAGTAGCCAATCAAAGTGCAGGAATGTATCTAGAAGAAAGTAAAACACAGCTGGAAAACTGGACAGCAATGCTTGAGCCAATACAAATCAGCAAGCACCACTTTCAATGCAGAGCAGGAAAACACAGGTGGAGGTGACATTCACGGTGAGCATGGGTTAAGTAGAAGATTATGTTATTCTATTCCTGCCCTCTAGAAATGCTTGGTGGTCAGTACTTGTGTTGGGACAATATGGCTGTGTGGACATGCCCTAAAAGACTGGGTGAAAAAAAAATATCAGGAAATCCTTAGCTGAATTTTATCTCTGTCATACATTTAGCAAATAGTAAATTAGTCTCTGACTACATTAGTGCTCTCATCTGTGCTTTGGGAATACCAATAACAAATTTGCTGTAAAAATAACATTATTCTTCATTGTAGGCTTCTTTAAAATGTTCAGATAAATGTAGACTTTGGAAAAAATGTTCAGAAAAATATTTATTGATTAATTCAATTAGTGTTCCACCTATTTATTCTAGTGAGAAGTCAAGTGCAGAGGCAGACATAAAAGGAGTGTGTATTCTTATGTATACTGACCTTGGACATGGTTAGTCCCTTACATAAATCCAGAGTAATCGTTATCTGACTCACAATTCCTTATGAATCTAAAAGAAAAATATTACTACATTAACTTAAGTAATTCATGTTATTATGGGTAGGCAACACAGCAGACAGAGGAAAGATTATTGACAGTGAAGATTGTGTGGATCAAGATGCTCCCTACTTTGTTAGGCTTTGCCGGCTTATGTGTGCAATAGCTTAGATTTGCAGGATAGAGTTTTTAATCATACCCCATGCCCTAACTGTTCTGAGGGTTCAGAATAACAAGCAGAGAGAAGAAAAAGAATAACAATGGAGAAAGAAGTAGTGGAGCTAACTGAAATTATAGGTTAACTTTCCAAGAACAAATTCCACACTGATTGTGGGCCCTTCCTCACTTACCCCTAACCATGGCACAGACATGATCCAGTAACACTTCTTTTTTTTTAATTACTGTGGCATTGTCTTCATCTCATCCCTGTGTGGCTGAAGCAGCTTATATTTGTCCTTGGTTGTCCCAGTTTTAAAGAATTATTCTGGATACAATCTGGCCTGCTTTGTTAACCCTTTGGTTGCAGGCACAGCCATGATCAGGGATGGGGATCTACCCACCTCCCATTGACCACTTTAGGCTGCCATGGGCATGTGCCTCCGCTCTGGTCACTGCCCTCCATGGCTATTTTGATTTGGCTGCTAGAGAGATCAAAGGCTGAGGTCTCACCAGTGCTTTTCAAAAAACTTGCCAGGCCTTACAGAGGGCTCCTTATAAACATGTGTGGTCAGCATTCTTTCAAAAGAACACTAGACTCGTTTTTTAAGCACAGGTTTAGTAGTCCTTCGAAAGAGCACTGAAGATTGATTTAAACTGGGAAGGAAACCCAAATTCTGCCAGCGATGTGTTGCTAATTCTGACACAAGTGGGTGCATTATACGTTTTCTACTGCTTCTGGCCCCAAGAGGTTTGGAGTGTCTTTTTCTTTTTCTTTTGTTTTTACTACTTTTATTATTTCAGAGGATTCACACAAAGCATTGCAACTTGACCCAGTCGGCATTCTCAGGACCAATCTCTTGAAACTGTAGTTCTTTTGCAGCTGTTTGTCACACACATAGTTATTATGTCACTAGGAGTGGTGGGGGCCGTTTTGCTGATCTGTTCCTGGTTAGACAGACCAGGATACTGTGATGACGACTGCTGTGGTTACACAAGGCCAATCACAACTGTGTAAATCTGAAATGCTGCTCTGGCGCATGTGGCAGTCCAGGGGTTGCTCCCTGGTGCTGCCAGCTACAAGGTCAAAACTGGGCTGCTTGGCCCCTTGCTGTAGCACTGCCATTCCTTTGCAATGGTAGTCAGGGATGGAGTTTACTTTCTTTCAAAAATAGTCTGAGGGACAGTTAAGAAATAGCCTGAAGGCAACAGATGCAAAAGAGGAGTTGTGCCAAGCAGAAGCATCAGGAGATCTCTTTCCCACTTCATATTATGTCCTCCTCTGTCAGGCAGACTATTTCTCAACCTGGGTAGAATGCTTCTATACCTGTGTTCAGAAATATCCTGACAGCTAATAGGCACATTGGAAGACTGTGAGGAGCATTGAGAAAGTTATCCCTTTCCACCTCACCCATGCCGCCCCTAAGTGTCTTCCACCTGTTAACTGGCCAGCTTGACAGGTGGCTAAACCTGACATTCTGTCTAAATTCACCCCACCCTCTAGCAAGAATAATTAGTGCCTGTTTTCCCACCAGCATGTGGGAGAGGATGCAACCCATGAGAATCCAACAATCCCTTTAGCCCACAATAAGTAAGGGAGGACAATGTATTTACCTAATTCCTGTGGTAGAATAGGAATCAACAATGAGGGTAGCAAATTTTATGCCACCATACTTTTCTCCAGGCACGAGGACTGGTAGATAACACTTTAATTCACCCAGGAGGAATACTTTTCAGTTCATCCAGCACACTTAACCTGATTTCTAAATGAAACAATTTTTTGGAATTTGCACAATGGATTGAACTATAAACTATCCTAATGGGCCAGGTTTGTACACTATGTTATATCCCCAAATTCCTAACCAAATTTAAATGCTAGTTAGGCTTACCATATTGTACAATACATGTGCTGTGTCTTTACTTGACCTGGTTAAGTACAATATGAACACAATCATTGACTCCACCATACTAGCTAGTATGATGGCAAAGATGAAAGCTAAGCAAAGGAAAATGGATAGACTGAAGCCTGGAGAGCTTCTCTGAGGTTTATTTTTAGAGGGTCTGCTTGGGAAACTCAGACAACAGAATGATCAGCCCTTTGCCTCTCCAGCCAATTACTTAAGAAAGACAAAATAAGCATGAGGGTATCCTCACACTAGATGGAACCTGATGGCTGAAAAGATGGAAACTCTCAAGGCTGAGTAACTGTCCTGTCTGGGGCTCCCATCAGACAGTCAGATTAGGTATTCTATGATTTACACCACCTGGCATGTATCAGAGGAGGAGGGATTTACATTTTCTCAGAGGTACTCTTTTTGTGACAAAGAAAAGGCAAAGACTCTGTGGTGTCCAGCTCAACATCTGGTGACTATACAGACACATTCTTGTAGTTTTCTTGGCAACAATACCAAAGTGGCTTACCATTACCATCTTTCAAGGAAAAACTTAAATGAATAGTGCTGTCGCATTGATGACATTAATGAAAAAAATCCAATGCTGTCCTGCATCTGCTGTTGTAACTAACAAAATGATTGAAAGGTTGACTGAGTCCATCATATGGTGAACCTTCTAATGGTAAGCAGAGGTGGCTGGAGTTTCAGTCTTACTCCCTAACTCCAACCCTTTCCTCCATAAGTTATAGCTATATATTCTTAATATGCTTTATAATTGTAAATGTTTCTAGCATACTTCTAGATAAAGATTCCCAACTGGCAACATGAACGGAATTTCCAGTAGCAATGGTGCAATAAATTATTTCAGACTTTAAACTTAATTGTCTAATGGAAAGCTCTTTGAGGACGGCCATGCACATTACTTATGATGATGATGGTGATGATGATGATGACGACCATCCACTGAATCAGTGAACTGCAGGATGAAGATCTCTTCATTGAAAGTTATCAATTGGTCTCCATGCAGACCCAGTGTGGGTTGCTATAGGTAGATGTTTTCAACTTCCCAATCTAGGTGTGAGATAGAATGATTGATCTGAAGTCACCCAGCCAGCTTCTGTGACTAAGGAAGGACTAGAAACTGGATCTTTCCACTCTTGGTCCAGTCCCATTATATCACACTGCTGGCGTGAGTGTGTGTGTGTGTGTGTGTGTGTGTGTGTAAAGGGGGGTGAGAGAGCGAGCAAGCAAGAAATATCTATTTATAAATATACTGTACATACAGTAATAAAACTATAAGCATCAGCATTAGTGCCTGTTCATGTCAAATCAGCTGTGCCCAGCTACAGAATATTTTTAGAAAATAGAAAAGATGCTGTAGCAAGTAGCATCAGTTCAATGGATTCTAGTATGCTCATGTTCATCCAATGACTGATGCCTGTTTCTCTTTCATTGCCTGCAGCAGCTGCAGCATCCTGGACTTTTTAGTTTGCCAGTCCTGCAGACATCTCACTGCATGGGAAGTGTTTTTCCTGGCCACTCCTCCCTAGTAGTCTCCTGAGTTCATTAGCATTAGGAGGCACTCCTGGACAGAGCTGACTTGGTGCAAGAGAACTAATGGAAAGAGAAATTTCCCTGCTAATGGAAAGAGAGATCCCCTGCAGATGGAGCTCCCACTCAAAGGATGTGCATCTGCCCAGTTTCCTTCTGAACCCCCTATACCACAGTCCATAATATTTAGTAGGGTTCTCTGATCTTAGAGAGAAAATTTGGGAAAGGACTCAGAGGGCTTCTGAGGGAAGTCTGGAGCAGGAACTCAGACCCTGTGATCTTTTCTCTGTTGGCAAGACATGGAAACAACTCATTATAATGGATCTAAGCATTCTTGGCTCCTGGATTGGATGATTTTCAGAAGTTGGCCACAAATGAAATGTTATGAAATGTTTATTGGAGAGTTTCTTTCCCCCTGCCACATATTACATATTTCTAAAATTGTTGACTTCATTTAAAGATTAAAGCAGACTCCACTTTCTTTATTTGTCATAGGAAGGATTGTTCTGTGTCTCAGTAACAAAATGTGCTAAATACTGCTAATGCTATTATACATACCAGTAAGTTTAGGAATTGTGTGGTGTCTGTTAATGCTAATAGAGCCTCCACACCCTTGCCAGGCTACAATTGCTTGTCTTTTCTGTTTATTTAAGTGACACTGTTGTTTGAAATTATGGGGTGGGGGCTTCTTCTGATCTTGAGTCATGCATCCTCTGACTGGGATGCTTTGCTCAGCCACTCTTAGCACCTCATTAATTACCAACTGAAGCAAAGTCAAACTGTTTTGCAATTCTGGTGCCTTTGTTAAGAGATCACAATCCTGTAGTGGAATGTTAAAAAGGTTGATTATCTGCCCTATGTCCTATTTGATTCTATGGGACCCAACTGGCACTTTAATCCCTGTAAATATAAATATAGTTCTTTCCAGTTCTTTTGCACCCATCTCAGTTCAATTCAAGGCTCCAAAAACATACTTTTTTATGCAGCATCCCCTTTTCCATGCAATTCCATATATTTTATCCTGGTTTTCTAACAAATGGGTGCATGGTCACTCAGGGGGCTGAAGGTGCTATAAATAGGCGTGATAATGGGTGCACAGATCTGGAGAGGCTGGATATACTGCTGGTTTCTCTTTTAAAGAAAACAAAATATAACTTAGCTATATCTATACCATGATACAAGAATGGCAGAGAAGAAGCAAGTTGTGAAACCTGCATTTGTTTAACATATTTTAAAATAGAATAATATAAAATACATTTTAAAAGGAGAAATAAAGACCATAAAGAATCTTCTTTTTAAAAAAAAAAAAATTCACAAAATAGGCATGAAAGGAGGCAGGATTCCAGTGATCGTATTTAACAGCTAATGACACACACAAAAAACCACATTTTATTTATAGTGGCAATGAATTGTGCTAACTTACATATATCACTATGTTTAACCAATAACTTCCCATTAAGATTGTCAGATGAATTACTTCTCCAGGTTCCATCTTTGGAAGATGTGTACTGTGTGTGAATGAGATACATCTAACACAAATGTGTTTGTTTATTTCTTTCTTTCTTTGTTTATTTATTTAGGGTTGAAACTGAAATTTACCATCAGAGGGATAATCTTAAGGTTCTTATAGTTGGAATTCCATTTATTTTTCATAACCATCTCAGGTACATAAGGAACATCATTACTTGTAATTACAAGAAATAGAAGAGATGATTTTGCAGTGTTACCTACCTACCTAAGCACTTGGTGGAAATTGACTATTAGCTAGTCTGGCTTTTCCCAATCTGGAGCCATCCAGATGTGTGGGATTACAATTTCTGCAATTTCTAGAATGCCACTTAAATCTTCTCTAGAAGATCCCACAACATCTGGAATAGATTTTGGAGGATAAAGGAGACAGAAAGGGAATCTGTTAAAATTGCTCTTCCCTCTGTACTGGACAAATTGGGTGCAGGTTGTGTTCTTTTGTTCTTATTACTATTTATTTTATTTGTTGCACATCATTGTATACTATGTGATGCATGTGTTTCTCACAAGTAAAAGAGTAAAACTCCCTCAAATTGAATTTGGCTACTTCGGTCTGATTTGATGTATAGAAAGCTAATATTACAGTCTACAGTCTTAGTTCCTTGAACACCTGTCCACATATTCTATCTCTAAATGAGGAGAAATAGTAATACAGAATTTTCTTGCTTCTTAAATGTATATTCTTCCAGGGCTGATTTCACCTTTCACATTTTTTCTTCTAAAAGAACAACACACAATTACATTTGGGGGACGCATGATTATCCTCATCAACCCTTTTGATTGGCCAGGGGGTTGTTTGTTATTTTGCTTTGTTGCTTCTACCTTCATAATATAAACTGAACTACAAAAATAGTGGGTGAATAGTTATTTTTGTGACCATATTTTATACAGATTCAGTTGTTGACATAGCTGTAAAATATCACTGTCACCAAGTTTAAATTACCTCATTCAGTCGTGTCTCTAGATATATATTCGGATCAAAAATTGGTGTTGGAAAGTGCTTGAAAACTTCCCAGACGCCCAGCACTTTAGCTGATCTTGAAAAACAAAAACAAACAACTAAGCAGGGTTAGAATTAGCAAGTAATCTCAGAGCTGTAGACTCTAGACTGAGAAGTCAGAAAAATAACCTAAGGCAATGGTAAACCACTCTGGTTTGTTGCCAGTAAAACTAAATAGACTTGTGAATGTCCATATAGACACCAGAGTTGAGTCTGACTGGAGAATGCCTTTATTTTTTTTATTTCCTCCAGGTCCACCCATTCAAAAATAACCCTTTTGTTTCTCTAACAGAGATGGTCCAAATTAGCATTTTTGGCTGTGTAAATCAAATAACATTATATCTCTACATTAGCTTTATTCTTACCCTTTGATAAAACATTGTCACAAAACTTTCCCAATGCCTTATTGCTTTTAAAAATTGCACAACCTTCTTATCTGAAAAGATTACACAAAGGCTATAACACAATAGGAACTAAATATCACCTTTCCAACACAGGGGATTCAAGGTTGTTCATGCAGTTGCAGATACTTGGTGCTTGAAGATGAGGGGAATAATTTAAAGCAGTTTCTCTGTTCCAGCTTTAATGCATACGCACACACTTATAACATTAAAGTGACAATCTCATACAACCTAGTAGGGAAAAATGTTGAGGAAATCTTCCACCTAGAAAGGTTGGCTGTGTTGACACTATAACAGTGGTATTTCTTGTTCTCTTTGCTCTCTTCCTGTGAGTTCTACTCAAAGCAAGAGAGTTAGAACCTGCTATCACTTTTTTTTTTTTTTGAGAATTGAAATAGGGAGCTAGCCTTTTTTTGATCCTTGACACAAAATGAAATTTGATACCTGCAAGACTTACTGAGCCTAAACTGCAAACTTCATGGCCACAACATCAGGCCTAATTTGGGAATTTTGTGTATCCTTCCCATGAAGTGTTCTGGAAAACTCAGATGTCTGAGTTCATGTAGTTCTAAATCTAATTATGGATTTAAAGTAATAATTTTTTAAAAGTCAAAGACCAAAACATCATCATTAGTATTATTGTTGTTGTTAAATATTGGTGAACATATCTTTCTTAGGGATTACGTTAATGTTCAGTCTTCCAGAGTAACTCTGTTTACTCAAAAACAAATTAAATGGGGATTATTACATGTATAAAATTTGTACCCAGAACATTCTGAATTTTAGGCCTCAATTACGATAACATCTCCATAATAATTTTTTTACTGTTTTAGTATTTTTTTGTTATAGATCTTAAAAAAAATGTATCTTGTCTTTAAATAACCAAAGGATCCTTTTACAACAACGATCTATGGAAATCTCATAATTTGCATCCACTCAGTTACATAGTCCATTTTTTAAATGCTCATTCATTAAACCTTTGATTATGGTGTTAAATTAACAGTACTGAGATTAATTCTATTGTTAGAAAATACCAATTTCAAAAGATGGATGTCAGAAACAAAAGACATATGGAAATGCAAGAGGATAAGGAAGAGAGGGGAAACGTGGTAGGTTTATATTTATAATATTATACCTAGGGTTTCTGAAAGTTCAAAGAAAACTTTTAGTTATAATAGCAAAATAAGTCAGAATGCCTGTGTTCTAAAACAGAATGCCTCTGAATATCACATTTGGGGACCATCAGCAGAAAAGAACCAGCTGCCCAAAAGAGTCTAAGTATCAGAATGCTGAACTTGGGGCTTATGCATCAAGGCTTTTCCCTCCCTCCCTCCC